TCAGCAATATATAAAGAGGATATACCATCCAGAGATGCAAAGCTGGTTCAATATTTCGAAGTTAATTCCGATAATCCACCATAGTAGAAGGTGGAAAAAAAAAACCCACATGATCATTGCAACTGATGCAGAAAGTTACAAGTTGATTTATTTGACAAAACTCAATACATGTTCAAAATAAAAAAAAAAAATTGGAATGGGGGGCCTTCCTGAACTTAATAAAGAACTTCTACAAAACCTACAGGCAACACTGTACGCTAGAAGACCAGAGCTTCCCTCCTATGGCTGGAAACACGCAGGGATGTCCATTCTCACCCTCCATTCAACATAGTGCTGGAGGTTCTAGGGGGAGCAATATGGCAACAGAATGAAATAAAAGGCATACAGACTGGAAAGGGACATTTTTGACATGATAATCTAGAAAATCCCAAAGGGCCTCCCAGAATTAATATGTGAGTTCAGCAAGATCACAAGTTACAAGAAGAACATGTAAAAATCAACTATATTTCTATTTACTAGAATATGAACATGTGCACACCAAAACTTAAAATATAATACCATTTACAGACACTCCCAAAAAGAACATATTTAGGTGTAAATCTAACAAAATACATACAGGACTTATATGCTAAAGACTACAAAACACTGAAATCAAAGAATCTCTAACACATATAGTGTTCATATATTGGAAGACAAAACATAGTAAAGATGTCAGTTCTCCCCAAATTGATGTATATAGGTTTACTGAAACTCCTATCAAAAATCCCAAAAAGATTTTTTGTAGGTATAGAAAAAATTATTCTAAAATTTATATGGAATGTCCAAAGAACTAAAATAGCTAAAACAATTTTGAAAGAATAAAAAGGAATCAATCTACCCAATTCCAGAACTTATTATATAGCTAAAATAATATAACTCAACTGAGAATCTGCAGAGAATTATGCTGAGTGAGAAAAGCCAATCCCAAAAGGCTATATACAATACAATTCCATTTTTATAACATTCTTGAAGTGACACAGGTATAGGAGAACAGATTAGTGGTTACCAGGGATTTGGGACAGGCTGGCAAGGAAGTGGTTGTGGCTAGACACACACACACATACACACACACTATGGGGGACCCTTTTGGTAATGGAAATGTTCTGTGCCTTAGCCATATCAGTGTCATTACTCTGGCTGTGATATTATACTATGGTTTTGCAAAATGCCATTGGGAGAAACTGGGTAAAGGTCCACAAAATTTCTCTGTAATATTTCCTGCAACTGCATGTAAATCTACAATTATCTCAAAATAAAAACTCTTATTTTAAAAAAAAGGACACAAAAGCCAGCTTGAAGATGTTCCCACTGATAACCTGGGGAAAATTTGAGCATCGAAATAATTAAAGACTATAAACAATTATAAATAATTGAAAAGAACAGGAATCCATGAATACATACTAATGATAGATATGTAAATACGTAAGTAGGTAGACAGATACACACAGGCAGGCATACAGACAGACAAGGGCTTTTGCTTACAGCTGAAAGCAGAATGCCATGGAAACCTTAAAAACAAACAAACAAACAAACAAACAAAAAACAAGCTTATAGATACAGAGAACAGATTGGTTGCCAGAGGTGGGGGCTGGGAGTGGATAAAATAGGTGAAGGAGTTCAAAAGGTACAAACTTCCCGGTATAAAATAAACAAGTTCTGGGGATGCATGAGGTCTACAGTTAATAATATTGTGATTGCAGATCTGAAAGATGCTAAGAGGCTAAGAGACTATATCCTCAAAGTTCATAAGAAAAAATTGTGTAACTATATATAGTTACAGATGGATATTAACTAGATTTTGTAACTATGTACAATGATGGATGTTAACCACTGATTATTTCACAATGCATACAAATATGGAGCATGTCGTACACCCCAAAGTGATACAATGTTATCTGTCAATTACACTTAAAAAAAAAAAAAAAGGCAGAATGCCAACTGGTAAATATGGAGGAAGAGCTACAGTAAAGAAACCACCATAGTCTCGCTTGGCTTACAAAAGGATCATCCAAAGATGCTAAATTTGGGGTGGGGTGTTCTGAAAAGAAATAGTAAATTTGCATATTCTTAAAGTAATTTTCCACAGATTGTCCCTTGAAATGAAACGACTATTAACTGTACAGGGGAGAAATCGGCAATCCCTGGAGTGGATGGTCAAAATTATCACCAAAAAGGGGCAGATGGATAGTGTGCACCCAGACGTGATCCAGAAGGATAAAACATTACTTATTACAATTCTGACTTTGGATACACAACCTTAATGAGAAATCATCAGAACCAAAATGAAGAATATTCTCATTTTTTAAAACAGAGGGAGTATGTCTTCTTCAAAGGCATCAATCTGATAAAAGGAAAAGGCTGAAGGTGACAAGACCCTAAGAGCCATGACAACTGTCACCTGTGACCCTAAAACGGAAATGAGTATAAGATGGGGGGAACCTCTGCATCAAGGACCGTATAGGGTCAAGTGACAAAACTGGGTATGGGTGGTCTATTTAATTACAGAATCAATCAATGGGGGTGCCTGGGTGGCTCAGTGGGTTAAAGCCTCTGCCTTCGGCTCAGGTCACGATCCCAGGGTCCTGGGATAGAGCCCCGCATCGCATCGGGCTCTCTGCTCAGCAGGGAACCTGCTTCCCCTCCTTCTCTCTCTGCCTGCCTCTCTGCCTGCTTGTGATCTCTGTCTGTCAAATAAATAAATAAAAATCTTAAAAAAAAAAAAAAAAGAATCAATCTATGTTAAATGTCTTGAAGTTGGTAGCTATAGTATGGTTACATAAGAAAATGCCCTTTTTTAAGGATATACATGCTAAAGTATTTGGGCATAAAAGAACAACAGTATTGTATATGGAACTTTCAAAAGGCTTAGAGAAAATTGAGGTGGTACTGATTCATGAAATTATAGGATGTAAGGGTATTCTCAGCATGAGTGTTGAAATGTCTGTCAGTTGGAAATTATTCCCAAATTAAAAAAGAAATTAAGTTCTTTGACTACTGTTACCTATTGAAAGGAACCAAGAAATGCATATACCCATTTGGATTGGATAGGTTCCAGAAAAGTACAGTAATTAAGAGCATAGGCCTCTGAGTTCAGACAAATCTGGGTTTAAATCTGGCTTTGCCCCTTTTAGCTGATCTGACCTCAAGAGGTCTCAATTTCATCAACTGTAAAATGGGGAAAATAATGTTATCTCATAAAATTATCTTGAACATGAAATGGGTTCAGGGCTATAAAATATCCCGACGCCCACATGTGGTCACCATTCCGCACGGCTACTTGCTGTGTCAGTAGGTTAGCGGTGGTGGTACCTGGTTAGCACCTGCGGTGAGGGCGGCTGTTGCTCTAGGCCACGAGACACAAAGATGACCAGACCGTGGTTTCTGACCTCAAGGGACTTTAAAAATAGAGTTGAACCACAAACTACAGTGTGTAACGTAAGAGCGAACAGAATAGCGCTGGAGAGGAAACAAGCATATTTTACTTCTTCTGGGACGTGGGTTGGGAAGGACTGCACAGGCGAGGTGACAGTGAAGGTGAGCGGTTAGAGGGCAGGTAAGGATTTGACATAGTGGATGCAAGGGTGAGCAAGGATGTTCCAAGGTGAGTTACCTACCGAGGACACAGGTGGGCCAAGCACTCAGGGCCTGCGTGAGAAACGGGGGAGGAAGAGGGAAATGCAGATGGGGCCTGGGCCAAGCTGTGGAGGGGGGAGGGCCTTGAACATGCCACTGCAATGGAATGAGTCTCACTGCTTCCTGCGTGCAGTGGGAGAATCACTGGAGGTTCTGAGTCAGGGGTGACAGGACTGAACTGTTGTCATAGAAAAAGACTGCCGAGGTGGTAGTTTGAAAAATTAATCCAGTAATTATTCCTTCAAATGGAAACTCTGAAGGAAAGGCCAGGCAAATAGTGCCTTTGTGACTCTTCTGTTTTTTAGCACGTCCCATCCAAATGGTGGTAATTAAAACAGTCAAGAGTGGGTAAGACTAGCTGATACCATGGTGCAGACACACACACACACACACACACGACACACAGACACATGCACACACACGCGCACACACGGGAAACCTATGTGCAGACACGCAGAAAGGAGGGTGGACATGGGATGCGGGCAGGCCTTCTGGCAAGCAACCCGGGAGCAGTGCAGGGGAGCAGCCAAATGGATGTGGAGGAGCTACCCAGCACAGCAGTCAGCACTGAGAGCTGGAAAGGGTTCTGGAGACTCTGTGCGCACCAGGCTTTAATCCTATAGTTATAGGATCTCGGGGTCCAAGGGCTGGGCCAGGTTTGCAGTGGCAAATGGATAGCTTGTGGGGAGCACAAAGGACCGAGTATTCCCACTTCTTAACACCCAATACACATGCTAGCCTCCTGAGCATGAGCCCTGCCCCTCTGACCCCAGGGTTTCCCTTCACTGACTATCCAGCCTCAGCTTATTTCCCTCAGGATGGCTTAGAAGGCACTGTCCTTACCAGAACCATCTTGACCACAGAGCCCCCTTCAAAGAAAACTTCCTGCCCCCACGCAGTGGTACCCGCTGGCTTCTGTGTTGTACGAGGAAGGGGCCCCATGGGGTCTACACCACATGAACTGTGGGTGTTGTGGATGGCCATCACACTTCTCTCTCTTTGTTAACGTGGGGGTAGGTAAGAAAAAAAAAACGAAAGTTTTAATTCACTTTTTCAGAGGACACTCTCTGTTCTGGAGTTCATGTCTTACTTCACCTAACCAGTTTGGGAAGGCTCATGCTTTTCCCATTAGTAGCAAGAAGGAAAAAGAATGTGTTTTCCTAGGATAGTCTCCTTTAACTCTCAAATTTACCAGGCAGCTACCTGAAGATGGGGCTGACATGAAATCAACCAGAAAGATGAGTGGTTCCACGTGGCCCAGGAGAAAGGTGCATCTCGCCATGGGAATGGGCCTGCCTCTGTTTCCCCTGTGGCCCCTCCTCCCTTACCTCAGAGGCGATGGAGGTGAAGCTGCCGCTGAAGTGCACGTGCTTCCGGACCTCGCTGCCATTGGCCGTGAGCAGCCAGTCCCCGAGTGCACGGTCGTCCCCTGCTGACTGGTTGCTGTGGCTCTGATTGGGCAGGAGCTCTGCCAGGTCCCAGTGGTACGAGGGTGTGGCCCCCACCAGGGCGATCAGGATGGCCTCGGTGGCCACGTAGAGCTGAAGGAGCAAACACACAAACCCAGCTGTGTTGGAATCGCGATCAGCAGGCTTACAAGCCTCATGAGATCTGTGTCCTGCTTTTTGGGTTTCTCTGAGCTACAGACAATGGGGCACATCAAAGCAAAGGAGAGAAACATGAGAAGGAAGCTTCCTCCTGATCTACCACTGACAGAGTCATCAGCAATCCCCCTTGTAAAGCACCCAAGGTTTTTTCCAGGGGGATCTCCTGCATTTGAGGTACTTCCAATGCTCAGGAAACGGCACACTGATGGTTCAATGCCATTGGCAAAGGTGGCAGGGTTGGGGGCGGGGGATATTACTAGCTGGTATTTATAACACTGACATTCCAGCTACCTCCCCGCAACACTACACCCTCTGTTCAGATAAGCAGGCACCAGGGCCCTGAGTATCATGGCCTTGGATTCACAATCTAAACTACGTCTTTTGTAGCGTAGTCAAATGTCTCAGAAAACAGCATATAGAGAGAGAATATAGTTATATACATAGTAAAAGAATATACACAGTATATCCAAAGAGTATATACATTATCATATAGAGTACATACAATGTGTATATATGGAGAGAACATACAGAGAGTATCTCTACAGAGAAAAAGTATATAGACAGAATATATATATCTAGATAATACAGAGGGTAAGCACCAATGAAAACACTTTATTAGAGCAGGTAATCATAATATATACTTGAGTAGGTACTATTTTAAAAAACACAGTACGCAACTTGTAAGATGTAAAGAAATCCAAATTCCAGAAAGAGATACTCACTTTATAACCCTTAGCCCTACTTAATCATTGTTTAATCTAAACATAGTTGTTCTCCCAAGGGGGGAAAAATTCATTCAAGAAATCTTTATAGAGCACATATGCCATTTGTCTTTGATTGTTCTGGGCCTTATAGTTATTCACACTCGGGTTTATAAGCTGTTGAGTCCTATGCAGCCTTTTTATGCTACGAATTTCCATTTATATTAGTTCTCATTGTTGGATGATTATTTCAAGCTTCAAATGAATTAGGAAAACACAGAATTTGTCTGTTGCAGTGAGAACTATCTACCTAAGTGAGGCACTCTTATTTTAAGAAATTACCCCTATTAACTTAGAACCTGGCATCTTAAAACACCTTTAAGCAGAACAAGTGTTTATGAAATACAAGGCTGTGATTTCTCCACAGTCTACAGTAACAGCCCCACTGGATGGATGTGTTGACTAAGGCACAAAGAAGAAAAGACTTGCCAACAGCTTCAGCTCCACCCACCAGGGAACCCCAAGCTTCTTCCACATCACTCTGGAGGGGCATATTCAGCTGTTAAGTGGATAAGCCAAAATGCCAAAGGCGGAATGAATTATCATAAGCAGATGATGGAATTACTGTCAAGGAAAGAGAAAAGAAGTCATGACATGGCGTGTCACAGCGGAAAGCTAATGTAAAACCCAAGGTGTGATTTTTGCACTCTGGGAAAGCCTGCGAGGACAGAAGGCAGCCCCAATCTATTTTGGAGGCGAGTGACAGTGGGCCTCCCGAGATGTACCAAGCCACCACAGGTCAGTCTGCATGGGTGATTTATTGTGGAATGCAAAGGAAATCACGTTTCTGGATTTCTATTGCTTCCTGGCCCCTATCTGCATACTATTAAGGAAGTTTCGGGAGAAGCAGCCATCAGTTTGTAAAAATAAAAACCTGAATAATTACAAGAACAGAGAGATTACACATTTAGCAGCCACTCTAAGTATAGAGCGCTTGCATCGTTTTAGTAACTGCCCCTCCTTATTACAATCTGCTGGACTTAATTGGTGGGTAAAGAAATGAAAAAATATGGGGCAAGGGAACTCTGGAGGCGAGGCAAAACCCATGTTCAGAACACAGCCTTCAATCGGGCAAAGCAAACTAGTTATATTTTCTCTCTAAATGTGCTATTTTCTGCTTTTGGTCTTACCATTTGCTTCAGCTGGAAAGCACTTCACGAGGTTCAGCAGAGTCTTTAAACCTTCCCCATCCTCCCAGAGGCAACTCAGGTACCACCTCTTCCCATCTTGCCTTCCTCTCCAACTTGCCTTCCTTTCCAACTCTCCGGAAGCCCTCTCCAGCTTCTGCCTACCCCTCCCCTCAAAAGCTCCATGCTCGACCTTTGTTAGAGACGTATCCCTTTCTTCACTCCACTCACTTCACTTGATGTGTCTGCTCATCTTATTTTTCCTACCAAAACATTCCGTCCCTGAGGACAGGATCTTTGTATGATCCAGCCCTGAGCTTCCAAAGCAAACACCTCAGGGCCTTGATACGTGGTAGCGCACACTCAAGTGACTGACTGAATGAACAAATGTGCAGGATAGAACACTAGGAACAACAGCTAACACTTCTCTGATGCTAACTACGTGCCAGGAACTGTTCACACATCATATTTTTATCCAGATTGTTCTAAGATGAGCCACAGTCTAGGTAAGAGAGGAAATGTTCAAAGGATCCTATAACCTGAGGTGTGTTTTCTCATGGAAACCATCACTCTCAGCACTAGCTACAGTGTGTAGAAAGTAGTTCAGAAACTACATGCACCCTGATGTTCATAGCAGCATTATCCACATTGGCCAGATGGTGGAAGCAACCCAAGTGTCCACTGGCAGATGAATGAAGATGTGATATGTGCGCGCGCGCACACACACACACACACACACACACAGACTACTCAGGCATAAAAAAGAATGAAATCTGGCCATTTGCAACAATATGGATGGAACTAGAGAGTATAATGCTAAGCAAAATAAGTCAGAAAAAGACAAATACCATACGTGGCTCATACATGGAATTTAAGAAAGAAAGCAAACAAGTAAAGGGGGAAAAAAAAAGGGAGACAAACCAAGAAACAGATTCTTAACTATAGAGAACACACTGATGGTCACCAGAGGGCCAGTGGATGGGGGATGGGTGAAACAGGGGATGGGGATTCAGGCCTGCCCTTGTGAGGAGCAGCAGGTGATGTATGGAAGTGCTGAGTCACTCCTGAAACTAACATTACACTTTATGTGAACTATAGTGGAATTAAAATTTCAAATTTAAAAATTAAAAAAAGAAAGCAGTTCAGATACAAAGAGGTGGTGCTGATATGTAGCCTGATTCACAGAAGGGAGCAGTGATACTTAGTTCATCAGTATCCTCCCCAGCAACCTGTTGCCTCAATAAGCACTTTGACCTTCTCATCTTCTCTGCCCTCCTCCCACCCCTCACAATGTTGCCAGTGACCGCCCCTCCCCTGCATGCACACGTGACCTCCACCAGGGACCTACACTGCACACCGAGGGCCATGGCCTTCTGGCACCAGAAGAGTCAGGCATATGCAGCTTGGAACTCCACGATGGCGCTACCTGCTTCTCCCCCCAAAGTCCAGATAGTCTCTCGGTCGTGTCTCTTATGTTACTCTACGACAACGGTGCACACGTTCATCCACATATTCCTACCTAATGATGGCACCCATCAGCAGATGGGCCTGAAAGCCACAATCAGAAACCACCACCCACATGCCTTCAGAGTGGAGCCCACCCCATCACAAATAGACCATTATCTTCTCCAACGCTACCTCCAGGGAAGAATGAGTGCCCAGATGGCTGCACTTTTCCCCCCTTTCAATGTCATCATACTTAGAAAAGTGACTAACATGCACCAGGGGACTGAAATTTTTGAAGTCGCAAAAAAAGTGAAGGTTTTAAAAATGATTTTATATCGACAGTGTTATAAGCTTTTATAATACTCCGGAAACCAAAAACATCCCCCATCCATGATCTCATCACAACATCTTGCGCTGTGAAGTCATGGTAAGTATGACGTTGATGTTTTAAGCAGGAAAAATGGACAATAGAGCAATTAAGTGAATCATTCGAGGTCACGTATGACACTAATAGCAAAACCAGGATGAGATTGAGAGTCATCTAACTTTGAGGCCAGAGCTCCTCAGAGGAAAAAACAAACAAACCAGGAAAAATCAAAGATGACTTTATTGTTGTCATTACTGTTAGTCTTTTCTGCACTTAGACTCAGTTATGTAATTGACTAAGCCAGTAGCATGACCTGAGCAAGCATATCATGGACAACAGGACCAAATGCCCAGTGCCCAGCACCAACTGGGTATTCAATAAATATCTGTGGGGTGACTACTGATACCACTTTTTTTTTTTTTAATTTAAAATATTTAGTTACTATGCCCTGAATCACTGGTATCTCGAGTCCTATTTCTTCCCAACTCTAATTCATTCATGCAGTGCCACCAGATAGGGCTCCCTAAGACACTCCTCATGAGGCTCCTCTGTCAAAACACACTGATGGATACATCCTCGCATAACTATCCCAGTGATAAATGTCCTAGCATTCCAGATCTCCACTGTATGGCCCAGCTGCTACCTAATCCATATCCCAGCTTTCTGTACTAGCCTACTTAAATCCCCAAATGTGACTTTTTTTTTTTTAAGATTTTTTTTTTTTTATTTATATGTCAGAAAGAGAGAGAGCACAAGCAGAGGGAACAGCAGGCAGAGGGAGAAGCAGACTCCCCACTGAGCAGGGAGCTGGACTCGGGACCCAGAACCCTGAGATCATGACCTGAGCCGAAGGCAGACAGCCAACAGACTGAGCCGCCCAGGCATCCCCGCAAATGTGACTTCTCATCACATAGTGTGAAAAGCATATAGACTCTGTAGTAAACTTTGAGCAAATCGAAACCTCTCCAAACTTCAACTTTTCTTTCAGTGAAATTGAACACTAGTAGTCCATCTCTTTATCTCATTCATTCATATCTAATCAACCTGTTCTGAGGTTCAAATGGGATGCTTCTTTAGCCAACCATAAACCGTACAGCCCCATACAAATGGTATCTATCGGCGCACCCCAAACATTACTGGGTGGGGTCTGATCCTATAGCCTGAGGGAGACCTGGTTCCACATCTCTTGCAAGCTCTCATGAGCACAAGGCTGCAGGTCTGGGTCACAATTTC